GAGCTGTAACTCACTTATCGCACCCGTCCGAGAGGGCAATCAACGGTTTGAAATGACCAGATAGCCCTGCCACGTGCTTAGCGGCGTGCTCGGCTGAGCGCTATCCGGCGATCTGGTGTCAATGTTAGCGGTGCGCACCGTCTGGTACCCAAGCTGGGGTTTTTCAGGCTAACAGGAACCTCCCGGTGGGTACCAGGCAGGCAATTGCCGGCTAAAATACCCGCGTCCGGTAGGTACCAGTGAGATATACCCCCGGCCGGCGCGGGGTATATCAAGCTGATATACCCCTGAGTGGGTACCGCGGCCTGATATACCACGTACCGGCTTCGACGCCTGGCAAGGCCGGTTGGATACGAGAAATATAGCCCGGCAAAATGGTTGAGCGAAAAACCCGGACGGGCGATAAGACTGTTTATCGAGGAGGTGAACCGTGCGGCGCCACAAGATCTTGTTTTCGCTGAATCGGTGCCTTTACTCCGCCGATCTGGCGCACTTGAACGGTACGGACCACGTAAGTAAGTACCTGGCCGGTAAGTCTCGGTCCTCCACCCGGTTCAGCCTCCCGAGTCGATGTATCGATGGTGGCTCGACGCATAGGTACTGGATTTTGTAGTACGGTACGTACTTCGAACAATCTGCAAGCCTGCTTCTTGTGTCAAGTTGTATCTTTGGATTGAGCATGGTTTCTGCGACTGCGTCCAGTTTAGACTGTTACACTACTACTGGTAGTTCAATGCTTGACCATTATCGTATATTGACATAAGCAGGATAAACCTGCGGTAATGCCAGTACGGTACCCGGGGCACGACAGAGGACTCTGACTCCGACTCTGAGCCCGGGAGGCCGGGCCGCCTTGCATGAGTCGTGAATCGTGATCCCACTCAAAGTCAAAGTGACGTGTAGGCTTCGAAATAATTGCGGGGAAGCAGATTAATAGGAATGCGCCATGTGGCGCAAATCGGACGATTTAAAAGGCAAGGGAAGTTCTGAACCGTCCAGGAGTTGGTTTGTCGTTTCTGGGGAAAATTTAGGTACCTAGGACGCACCGTACAAGTGCGTGGGTAGGTACCAGCCAGTACCAGCCCTGACTCCTGAGCCCACAATCCTTCGCGAAGTTCAGATCGATGATTGAATGGTTCGCCGTAAACCGGGCAACTCCCTCTCGATTCTATGAAGGGTAAGCGCCAGGAAGGGTAACATCAACACTGAACTGAAAACCTAAACCTAAACTTTACACGCTCCGCACCCGTACCCACCCTTTAACCCCCGGCCAAGCTAACCCCACCCGTACCCGTTACCCTTCATGAATTCGAGATCGGAATGTAAAACCGGGATCGCCGCCTTTTCAGCCTGCTTCGTTCGATGTCCAAGTTCAAGGCTCCGACTCCGATCAAAACAACCGTAGCCTTGCCAGATAGGTTAAACTGGGCACGATCAGACTCAGACTCACTAAGGTTGTTCACACCTGATTTATTTTCTACCGGCGGCGTCGGATCAATCCGTCGCCGGAGTTGGCCATTTTCGACGGAAAACGAGGGTTGTTCGCACTGCGCTTTTGACGGGGCTCTCCGGTGCCGGGATCGAGATCACGTGCCAAAATAATAAGCTGGCCGCGCGGTTCCACGGGCTTTCGATATCGACGGAGCAATCCGGCGACGGACATCTCCGGCGCCGGAGGAAAGTTGTTCCAAAATTCTCCGTCGACGCCGGTGATGCTCCGTCGACGGAAATTTTGGATTTTCGACGGAGTACAGTGGCCGCCGGCGCCGGCGGCAGAAATTTTGTGCTAGTGTGAACAACCTATCAGACTCAGAGTCAGCACACTTGCGCCGGCGGCCCTGCATTGGCTTTTGTGGCGCGCTGCAGCTGAAGACTACGGTAGCTCACGAGTCAGAGCCACAACAAAGCCAGAGCACAGCACATCAAAGATCAGAGTGCGCTCTAAGATGGCTGAACACCCTCGTCCTTGGTAAGATTTCTGATAGGGAGTCTCCCATGACCACGGGCCTGTCAGTGATGGACCATGGGTGATGCGCGCAGCTGGCATTGAATGTAATACTATCAAAGACAGCGCAACATTGTATAGCCTGCAGTAAGAGAAGCTGCAGCTGCATCATTTAGCTAGAGAGACATCCTCCAACTTTGGCCAGGCACAAGTTGCGATACTGTTAGTTGCATCTTGCCCAACAGACAAATGTGACAGCCTCACCAGCGAAGGTGATCGCGTTCTAGATATGGCAGGCAATATGTTGAACCAATTGGAGGACCTGTTGCGACGCTTTGCTGTTTGGTTTTTTGGCCTCTTTGCCCGCCTTGCAGCCTACTTCGACGATTCAGCAGCATTTGATCATGCTACAGCTCTAAAGAATGTGGTGACAATCAACACCCGGCAGCATTGGGACCTGGCATTTGAAGAAGCAGAGAGGGAAGGCAAGGAGGTGAGGAGCGGTGGCTTGAGCTGATGATTGCAATCTGGAGCGGATTTATGGGCTTGAGCCAACATCCCAACGTCTGCAAAGCACTTCCGATGCGATGGTTTGTTTCTGGTGACTGTCTGGATGGCGCCCGTACTACGATTGCCAACAATCATAAGATCTTTGGGCCTTTCCTACATTTGTCTCAAGAGTTGGGAACATTGCAACTAATGATCTGACATGGTACAAGTGGTTTGAAACATATTTAACGTGTGAAGTTGCATTCCACATTGAGAACTCAGTCTGACAAAATGCTTGTGGCAAAGCATATTGATCCTTCTGATTGAGATGTCTGCACATGTCCTCAAGTTTTGTTGATCATATGTGCTATCTTTGCATCACCTGCGCTGTGCTCATCAACTCCCCAATCTGCCTTGTCAGTGTGGTGGTACACCCACTGAGCTTACAGTGTCCTGGTTGAGGAAGTAGTGGGACTCTGACAGGCTCTAGATTGGGCGCCCACATGACTGACAGTTCAAAAATCAAACATTCGCAGCTTGCCCCCTTCCTTTGTGCCGAGGTTCTTTGCAGCTGTTGTCAGGTCTGTAAATGTCAATCTTTAAGGGCGCATTCTTGTCCTGACAGACCACGTACTCACAGAAATCGCCGCAAACCTGTGCTGTTAATGTCTAGCGGTGGTATGTGTGCATGCCTTAAGTACAAGGCAACAAAACCTCTGCCATAATGCTTATGCTTAGCTTCAAGTGCGCCAAATCCTTGCAAGCATCATGCTTTTGATCATGGTTGCAGGGTATCCTTGCATACTTCACAAAATGGTCATCCCCACCTTGCAAGTTCGTGCGGCCTTGGTTCGCGGAGCTCTCGGAAAAGTATTCCAACCTCAAGTTCCTCATGGTGTATGTGGAAGACCTAGAGGTGAGTGGCCGCTTTCGGTCAATGACCAGATGGCGGAAATGCTTCACTCTCACATAATGTCAACAAGGGTACTGAGCTCTGTGTCCGTGCTTCAATGAAGACGTTCTTACCTGCAAATGACAACTTCGATTGTCTTGTTTCTCCAAAAGACCTCATCTCATCCCTTTCAGGAGCTCGCGGTTGAAGCTGGGGTGAAGTTCATTCCAGAGTTCCAATTTTTTCACGAAGGTAAAACGGAAAAGGTGCAAGGAGCAAAACGAGATCAAGTAGAGGCTCTTCTGAAGAGAAAAATAGGGCATTCAATGGTTCAACGGACACAAACTAGAACTATAGAGGAGCAAAGTCGGAGCAAAAAGGCCAATTGAATCTACAGTAGTTGTAACTACTGTATTTTTACCGTGGTTGACAACACGGCATGGGATACGGATGGTGAACCACATGTAAAGCTAGCGTTACTAACTGTCATGTTTATGTCGAGGATGGACTCACCGGCGGGTGCACCTCTGCGCAAAGCTATGCTAGTCAGTGGACGTGCCAGACTTTCTCACTGCAGCTAGGTCATCATGTGTGCGCCTTCTTTCAAATCCCATATACAATGTACGTGTGTCGCATATACTTAGTGTACGATAAGCAAGGTACGTTTATATTCGGGCGGGGCCCGGCCGCTCTTCTGCCGTTGCAATGGCCGCCCACTGATTTATCAGAGTCATTGAATGCCTCATGCAGTGTCCAGGCTGCAGACCTCGACATCTAAATATATTTAGATTTGAATTACGTGGGCCGGGCCGGGTAGCCACATGCAAATTTGTGCGGCACATCGTGGCCAGCCTGATCGATCTAGAAGTGCAATAAAACTCATATGATGCATGCACATGTGATCATCAGAGGCCGGAAAGTTGATTCCGACAAGATCGGGGCGGCAATGGTGTTGCTCATATGGCTCTGATTAAGCACTTTCTTGTCAGTTGATTCAGATTGTAGCCAAATATTCGAAAATCTCAAATCTAGGTATAACAACACATCGCTGCGCCGCATTACGTATTATGGTCGATTCTGACTGCACTTGACTCAATTGGACCTGGATTATGTCGTCGAACCCCAGCCAGGACCTGTTACAAACATATGCATGATGCTTCAACTCAGTTGTTCGTCTTATTTGCGAACTAACTTATCAACTTAGCGACTTGAGTGTATCATACGTGGACAGGCTTCAGGTCTGTTGCGGAAGAGATGTTGAACTGGAATTGCTGTACAGAGTCATTTGCTGGTCGAGGCATCCATTTCGAATCTAGACAGACGCAATCTTGCAGATGTCTTCATAATCAATGGCAGGGAGTGTCCGCCCATCATACTTGCCCCCTTTCAACTGCACCCTCGCTTTAAATTTCTCAGTGTTGATCGCTTCCAGCCGTGCCATCTCCCCTCGGTACGCGCCATTCACAACTCGGACCAGGCCCCCAATCTGCGGGAGCACCGTCTCCAGCTCCGCCTGGTCTACCTTGAGCACGTCGCCACTATCCACCATCTCGATCTCGCCTATGTACTTCGCAATCACCGCTTTCACCACTCCTTTCATCTTGTAGTACCCCTTCTCCTTCAGGGCTCGGCTCATAACCTTGACGACGATCCCCGTGGTCAGCCAATAATCCTTTCGATTGAGACGCTCTTTTGCCCTTTCTTGCTCCTGCATCATCGCGCTCAAGGTGTCCTCCCTCCCCTTCTCCCCACCCTTTGCAGCCCCGCCTTCCCTCCCACGCCCGCTCGTCTCCGGCGCTCGACTCTCCTCCTCTGCTGCAAAGATGGCCGGCCGGCTGGTCGACGCCTTCTCCGCAGGTGCTTTCTCCGCCGGTCTCTTCGTACCATTCGACCCGCCCATAGCAAAAGCAATCTTCTCTCCCGTCGCTTCGTCTCGCCGCAACTCTTTCGCGGTCGCCGCTTCCGCTGCCTCGCCACCGTCAGGTGCGGTTTTTTGCTGCTTGGCCGCCCTTTCCACCTGCGCCAGAAGGTCCCGGTCGTGGCGGTCTTCCTCCGCCAGCTCCGCCTTCTTGCGCTTCTCTTTCGAGGCCTGCAAGCGGGTCAGACATGAGCGAAACAACGAATCAGCGCTCAGCGGGTAAAAGTGGTCAAGCACGAGGAGGATTGAATGCGGGGTAATAACCTTGAGATAAACATGAGAATCGGCCCAACCAACATCGACTCTGGACTCTATGTTGTGCCACTCTGTCAAAACGGGCAGTGAACTTGATGAAAGGCACTTTGGCTGAACATGAAGACCGAACGCAATCATGTACACGGTATTCCGACTGCTGATTTCTTGTGGCCTGAGTCCAGTCAACTGAATGAGATACTTCCTCCTCAAACTCTTTCCAAAGCGGGCTTCTGGCAGTCGGTCAAGCACCCCGAAAACGACACGAGGCCCCGCTCAAACCATATGTCAACTGATCAAGCTACAAACCCCGACCAAACTTCGAGTCGATCGCATTGGCAGCATGACTGTAAGAACGAATAATCCACATTCTGTTCACTGCCTTAAAGCGTTTTTGGCAATCCAAGATGTATTAATAAACGCGTTATTATCCCAGAACCAGACAAACGCGGTTTCCCTACTGGTGCAATTCCATTTGACGTTCTGGTTACAGAGTGTCCCAGAGCCCCTCATTTGCTCACCTCGCGCATAATTGTCTCTGGCTCGCGGTCGACATATGTGATGAACCAGCCCTTGGGCGTGTCCTCCACCTTGACCTGGCCCGTCTTACCCAGGTACTTGACAAAGTCGCTCAGCGTGAGCCACTTGGTCGAGTTCATGTGCACGTGTTCGCGGTCGTGGATGAACTCATTGTACACCACTGTCGCAGCAACGCGCGCACGGTGCCTGTAAAACAGCGCCAACAAGCTTTGGATGAGGAAAAGCAGGAGGCTGCCAGTATTTAAGGAAGCTGACACAAAACGACTCAGGGCTAACAAGATGGCAACACCGGATGCTTACCCACTTGCCTGTTGGACAGCTAGCAGCTTGGAACATCCCATGATTGGAAGGATTCGACTAATTAAAGTACATCCAGAGGCCTACTTCTTCCAACACCTGTTGCGGTTGAAACGTGTAGAGCCTTACGTGTGCTTCAGATGCTCCATGAAGCTCTCCTCGAACTGCTCTGAAAAGCTCTCCACGATGTGGTCCGGCGCCTCTCCGAAGATCTGCATTTGGCGCTGATGGCTCTCCGACATGCAGTGGCACTGCACAGCAACAAACAAGAGGACAATCTCAACAGCGCCTCTCTCAGAATTGGAGCTTCAGCCTTGAGCCTGGCCCGATCCCCTGCTTACATGGGCACGACAAGCGCACAACAGGTCTCCGATTGAAAGACTTTTATTCTTTGCTCTGCAAGCCCTGTCTGCAGAGCCCTACCAAAAGGTCGCTCAATACGACGCTTCACAAGTTGACGGTTGTCTCCAAGAAAGCAGAGGCGCCTGAAGTTTCCAGATCTTTGTAAAAGAGGAAAGCCCTACAGGCAGAGTTCTAGATGGTCCATCCTTACCTTGAACCCATTCTCGTCTCGGCATTGCTTCTGACACATCTGACAGTACCACCGAAGCTTTTGCAACCCTTTGGCCTGGACAAGACAGCGGAGACCTGTTAGCAATCTCAATCCGCTTAAAAGCACAATAACCTTTCCCCACATCCACTGCCAGACATAGGCACTTCAATCTGAAGAAAGAAGTGCCAAGAGGGAGAACTTTTTCCAGCTTTCAAAAGCAAAAGAACGCAGCTCTCAACAGCAGAAACTTTCTTGAGGAGACAGTCAGCACTAAAACTCTGCTGTTTTTACCAACGATCGCAGCTTGGCTTCTGAAAGGAGTCAGCACAGCAATGATGCAGTGCAGGCAATGCGAGAAGCAGAGGCCTTGACTGGAAATACCAGACAAGCACTGGCCTGTTGATCAAACTGACCTTAATGCGGTTTCCAATCGCCTTGGGCGACATAAAATCGCCTTTCGCCATGTTTGCACCCTGAGAATCTTCACCAGCTAGCTAACGCTCCGCTGACGATTCAAAAATTGACTACAGAACGTGCGCTCTCCAGCATTTCCTGTGATTAATTAGCGGAATGCTTGAAGCTCGGATAAGCAAGCAACCTTGCCTCAACACCCCCCTCTGATGCAAGTCTTTAGCTCTTGTGAATGCTGTGGCGCCCCTCCACGTTGTGCCTCACGTTACACGTATAATGATAATACTAATAATCATAATAATTCTCGGCTGGTGCCAGCGGCAGAAACTAGGGTTGCATGATGATGCATCATTGCATGACCATTCTGATAAAATATGTTTATAATTATACCAGTTGGAATCCATTACGGCCTAGCTATAGGCGCCCCTGTCAGTCGCCTGTGATCAGCATATTCTCTCGTTTTAGGAGACGCCCGGTCACAACAGTCCTCCGCAGAGTTTCCAGCTGCTCCTGCCTCTCCCGGCCCCAAGATCGAGATATAAGGAGCTATTCATAGATTGGATAATCCCAAAATCGCGTGTCAGGACATACATATCCGAATGATCATATGACAAAGTGAGCTTTATTAATGGAAATGCCTTGGCCCTCCTCCCTCCTCCCTTCTCCATGCAGGCCTTCCAACTTTCAACTTCAAGCTCCAAGTTCAACTTCTTGATAATTTTGCATACCGTAATCTTTCTCACCACCTTAGCCTAGCTGGTCCACTCTTGTTGCAGCATGCTAATCTTCTAGAACGTTGAGGAGGGGGTGGAAGGACTACTTTGCTGTCCACTTTGGAATTGAATGGTGCAGGTGAAGGTGGTGGGGCCCTGGTAGTGCGAAGAATCCTCTGGTGCGCGATGGAGTGCATTGTTCAGGGGGTGATTGAAATCAAGGCAAGCCTACCGGCCTACCCGTGACTTCTTTCTTTCATTCTGCGCTGATGTGTTGGAGCTGAACATTCAGTATCACCCGATTCTTCAGACGCATCCCGGCTGCTGTCTTGGTGCTGCGAACACTTTGTAAACATCCCTTATGATCACAGCATTTTCTATCAAAGTGACACCATCATAGCCCATTCTTGTCTTCCTTGCTGTCTTGAGCTTGGTTCCTTCGGTACTTCCTTGAACTGAGCAAGTCCTCCCCAGTGATCATCCCAGATACTTTCTCATTCTTAGTGAATACTGACCAAGCGGTGTCGGCGCCGCTTTCCTTCTCTTCTCCCCGCTGATGGTGGCGCTGTTCTTTTCGCAGAACGTTCCTGGTTTCCAGACTCTTCTCCAGGGACTTTGCGGCACCTGCTCTAGCCCCGTGCGCTGCCATGAGATTTGCCTCAGGAGCGGGCCAAACCTGGGGGCAGTAGAGTCGGAGGTTCGCCTGCTGTGCAACCTCGTGGAAGAAAGCCCCCGCTGGTGAGTGCCCCAGGTTTGCTCGAGGGGTTTTCATACAATATTTGACCAAGTTTTTTTGTGGCCTGAGGTGCACCACCTAGTAACTCTCTTCCCTACTCTAGCTCACTCTTTGAAACCAGCGAATCGTTCCTAAGTTCCAACTCTGTCGCATGTGACCAGCGCCAATGTCACTGGTTGAAATGGCTCAGACCTTTCCCGAGATTGTCGGACTCAAGCTGGCCAGCGGTTCTGATCATTCAAACCAACAGAAGCACAAAGCTTCCATTTCGACGGCCTTCCAAATCATTCACACTATTCTCATATCTGCGGTCGCCCCCCCATCCCGCTCCAGGACTGTCCAGCACATCGGCAGCGCAATGCGTGGGGCCGCCGCCGAACAGCTCCCAGCGGCGGTGCGGACTCTCCTCACGTCAGCCGTCACCGAGAACGCATTGCCCGTGTTTTTGGCCCTCGGGTACCGCGTCGACTACGAGCTGCTCAAGGAGGGGGTCACCTTCTGCTGCGTGCGCCAGGGGGTCCCTCTTGATGTTAGCGTCCTCACAATCTCGAAAGTGAGGCGCTTTCCGCCCCAGTTCCAGGATTGTCTCAGCCGACCAATGCAGACGTGCCCATTCGTCCTCAAAAGATGATTGCGGAGCTGCCTGTTTGGGAATCTTTAAGTAACCTCACCTCTCGTTTTTTTGGCTTCATTCTCGCACGACTTGATTTGGTCAGCAAATTCTTTCTTGAACAAACAATGTGGTCAGAAAAGGTGTTGCTTCAGGATCAGATGTCTTTCTCCACTTCAACATTAGCCATATTAGCAACTCCCCCGCAGCAATTCGTCCAAGCAAGTGTGTTACGGGCCCTAGTACCCCTCAGGTAGTACCCTCTCAATAAGATCCATTGAACTTCACCACTTCTATATAAGAGTTCGCTGGTACAAGCAACGACTCCCTCGTGCCTGCGCAGCTTCCCGTCCTGCACGACCTCTCCCAGGCCGTCCCCCTCACCCCCGGCCTCCAGTTGGTCCAAGTCACCGGCCCGGCAGCCCCCGGCAAGTTTGCAGAGCCGGCCGCAGCAATCGCCGGCCTCGCAGAACACGTGGTCCAGTGAGCACCGGCCTCTGCCCATCGTTTTTCGCAAAAGCTGCCCGTATGGTTCGCTGTCCGTCTCAAGTATCTGCTCCAGCTGATGACGTCCGTTTCAGGGATCTTGCAGTGGCTTCTGTTGCTTAAAGGCGTCCAGAATTTGCCGTATGGTCTGCCACTGTCTCAAGTATTTGTCGGATAAGATTCCCTTCAGATCGGATCAGCAACTCATGTTCCTGCCTGCTCCTTTGAACATGGTTTTTCCGGTTCGTAACCGGATGTTGGCTTCAGCAAATCCGGGTTTGGGTCCATAAACAGCATCGACACATCCCTCGCACTGCAAATCACCTCATGGATTCAAGTTTTGTGCAGCAGAAAAGCTTTACGTTTTGCATCGAAGCAAGTCTCTTGTCGTGAGCAATTTCACAGCCGGCCAGCTGAAGGAGCACCCCATCTTCACTGAGGTCAGAATCCCTATTCGTCCAGGTATGTGCGCCTCTCAAAGCCTGGCGTGTTGGCTGGCTTCCCGCCAGCTCAAAATCCAGCCGGGGGCGCTTAATGACCTCCGCGGGTTGCAACCTGGAGTGACGCCACTCCACTCAGGAATGACATACGCGGACGAGTGCAGTCAAAGGCGGACCCGTGTACTGCTCAATGCACGTCGGGCGGGCTCCCCTGATTGTACCCCTCCACAACCATCTTTGGCACACTGCCAGAGTGACCAACGTGCGAAGTCAAATTATGCGCACGAGCGGAACATGAAGTCTTGCTATGACGTTCAAAATCTGGTCGAGCAGGGGAAGAGGAAGCGTTTACGCAGGGAGATTGGGGAAAGCGATGACGACAAGGGTGCGTTGGTGGCATAGATCCAAAATCCGTGTCCTAATCTGCCAATGCTAGCCCACATTGGCTAACGGTCTGAGGTTGCTTGACGAGGGTGGCGATGACCACTGTTCAACAGATTGATGCTCACGAGAAACGAACTGCTCTGCCGCGAAAGAGTAAAGTACAATGGTTGTCGAAAAAGTATTGGCTGGATTGTCCTGCTTTTGTATACTCGAGCTGTGAAAAAAGAAGGAACGGATGGAAGACAACATCGAAACGAAAAACTATATTCGTCAAGGCAGATGCAGCTCAGCTACTACACGTGTACTACACGGTAATGATATAAGATGACCTCCGCCGGCTGCATCATTGGGAGAAACCACATAATTGCCCGGAAAACTTTCTGAGTAGTGACTGATGCTATCTGCAGGCGGGAAAAACTCGATCAGGTGATCCGACGGACTTGAAACTGAGTGGCCGTTTCTTGGCAAGCTAATATCTGGCCTTCCCCAATCGTGCTGCTTGCAATGTCCGTTGCTGATTATGATTCAGGACGCGGTCACTGGCCATGCCGGCGGTCCCTGGCCCATGAACATGCAGATCATGACAGTACATACATGTGATGGAATTACACTGAAAGCTTATAGCCCCTGAAGATCTGCCAGGAATTTGGGCCCGGCCATGATACATATAAATCTGGCTCAGTAGATCGCTAGCTAGAATCATGCCATGCAGTTGCAGTGGCCGGTTCGATTGATACCGCGAGCTCGTAGATCGTAGAATCTGCATCAATGTGGGCGGCGGCAGATGTTAGAATGATCATGTTCATTTCATACATGGAGACGTACAATTTTCACGTAATTTTGCAAGTGGATGCGGGCCAGGCCCGAAACAAGACATTGCTTTAATCGTGCGTATGAAATCTAACTTACTTAATTCGTGATATCGACAAACTTGAAAGCACTGTCGGAGGCTGAGTCTAGGTAGATATGGCAATTGCAATGCATGCATCATTTGATATTGGCGCAAGTGATATATATTGCTACACAATTGCACTCATGGTGCGCGACGAGTTGGAGAACGTGCATGAATATGTTCATGCATGGTGCGTAATATGCAAATTATCTACGCACATGACCTTTAACCTTGATGCGAGGTATCCAATTTGAAATCAACGAATTGCCATGGCCCTGAGAATGATCTAAGTGGCTCGCAAAGTTTTGCTAACACGTTCGTTTGAAGCCCACTGAAGGATGCGAATGTAGCCTATCTCTGAATTCTGCGTTTCTTAACCTACATTTAGCAACTGCATTGTGAAAAAGTTCGTTCAATCGAGTCTGAAACCATAGCCCGCGCGGTATGATGACCCTCGATCTCGACATGACTGCCTCGCCTAGCCCAGCTCTTCTTACCACTCATCTATTGACTACTGAACTGGCGGCACACCGGCACTCAATTCTAGGACAGTATGTCACGTAACAAGAAGGTAGCTAGCATGCCGCCCGGGCTGCCTGGCACATGTCTACTCAGTTCAATACGATATCGCATCCGGCCAGGCTCGTACGTATTCGGCCGGCGTTGTTGTAGAAGAGATACTACCCAATTGGGTGCAAGATACGCAATCTCGTCGACATACCCAGAACGAGCTTTAAGCATTGTGGTCGCTCGCATGGTAGGGGAACGATTAAGCACGAGCTTAAGATTGACCGACGACGTGGCACTCAAATTTGCGTCCAGTAACTTGTGTTCCCATCGAGCTTTGTTCGTTTTGCTGGCGGTGCAAGCTGCTGCCCATTCGACCCGTTTGCTACGGCTCCTACAAACCCCGCCTGCCGTGCATGGAAAAACGTGCAGTTTTCGCCCTTGTGACAACCCTGCGGCGTGTTGAAATACAGGCACAACTTCTTATCCCGCATGTTTTCCGGACGCCCGCCATGCCGCTCGCCCCGTCCACCCCCCTTCGGTCCGCGCGTTTCCCACACTCCCCTATTTGGTGTGGGTGACGTGTTATGAAACTGCAGAGGCGGGCCCCTCGGGGCCCCGTTCGCCGGCCGCCACTCCCCCTGCGGCTGCAGCGGCCGTTGCGAGGCTGGAAACGCATGTGGGGAGAACCCGGGCAACGGAGGAGGCCTCGGTTGATCGAACCGAGGGCGCTCCTGTGGGGGCCACCCGGGCGGTCCCCCTAGAGGCGGTCGGGGAGTGGCGTGGGGGGGTAACGGCGGCCGAGGTCCTGCCGGCGGATGAGGCGCGGCGCCCTGGGGGTGTGGAGGGCGACCGGGAGGGAGGGGGGCTGGGCCGGGAGGTGGCCGGGGAGGGCCGGGGGCGAGCTCCGCTAGGTGATTGGGAGGCAGGACAGGAGGGGGCGGTCGGGGCTGGTGGCCGGGCTGAGGCGGGGCCGTCCCGGGGAGTGGCGGTCTCAATCCCTGCCCTAAGTTTCCGAGGATGCCTGCCAGCTGCTCGAGCGCCTGGTTGGGGTTGCCCACGGGCCCGTCCTTCTTGGCCACGAGCTGCAGCAGGGCCGGGTTGCTCAGCAGGTCAAGAAGTGCCCGATTGTCCAAACCGGGGGGGAGCTGGGTCGGAGGGCCATCCGAGCTAGTGCTCGGGGCTGGTGCGGAGGCAGTCTGGGGACTTGGAGCCACGCTGTAGGGGGGTGGAAAAGGCGGGGGAGGAGGCAGGGTGGAGGGGGGGGCGCTAGAGGGGGGGTGGACTTGGGGCGCTGCTTCGGGTCGGCCAATCCCTGCAAAGATGGAGAAGGGCAGTCACTCACTGGTAACCTTGTTGTACAACTTGCGAAGAACCATCGTCGGCTTAAACCCCCTGCTGAACGAGCCTTTCACAAGGCTTAAGAGACAAGCGAGAACGCATCTTCAATCACGACGATATTATGGGGCTTGGCAAGAGCTGAAAGCCCACGCGATTTTGCAGATCGCACGGGAAGACGCAGGGACCTACGTCCTTCGCGAAAAGCCACTACAAAGAGCGCCGATTGCTTTGCTTTACGACCTGGCCTGGGCATGTCCCTGGCAAGAGAGTGCCCTTCACTGTGCGGGGTGATGGTTGCGAGCATCCCCAAATCGAAGGCATTCTTTTGGAAAACGAAGGCGATGAGCACTGGGGACCAATGGAACGAGGCAGGGACCCAGGAGACAAACGGTTGGCAGGAAAAGCCTTCAGAGCAGAAGTCAAACAAACGGTGCACGTGGACGCTGATATATGCCGTGTATTCTGTCGTTCTGTATTTCGTGTACTCTGTCGTTCAGTTCTTTTGCGACTCGGACGACCAACCTGGGGCACCGTTCAGACTCGATTTCAAAAGCAGAGGGTTGTTGTACGAGGAGTGTCGGAGCCGGCCCAATTTCAAGAGCATACGAAGTGAACATGCGCGCCAGACCAATGGAAAAATGAATCAGGGGAGCATAAGTACCTGGCGGGGGCGGGGGCGGGGGCGGCGGCGCTTGGACCCCCGAGTGCGCAGCCGGGATGTCCTCCTCCATGAGCACCGCCTCGTCGTCCACCGGCATGAGCGGAATCAGCGGAATGGTGGAGTCGTTCTGTGGCGGAGGAGTGGGGCTTTCCGGCTCCGCAGGGCTGCAAGAGAAAAGTGTCCGCGTTGGATTCATAATTCAAACTAAGCCTCAGCTTTTCGAACGAGGGAATACTGGAATACATGAAAGAATGAACAAGCTGTTTGCGAAAACAGCAGTTTCGTAGACGGTCAGAGCACTGCGGTTGCAAACTAAGCAAAGCGACCACCTTGTAGACTTTGCTTAAGTTGATGAGCCTGGTTAGGGCGACTCGTCAAAAAAACCTCAACCCTGATCTACCTTAGGGTTGAGAACGCGTTAAGGCTTCGTGATCTACATCCTGTTACTCGTCCGTCGCCTTGACAGTGTTCGAATGAGTGGCTAGCGATCCAACGTCAATCTTTCAAGGTTCACGAAGCAGCGAGTAATCGGGACATGGCAACTTGCAGGAGTGTTCTTGGTGCTCTACCCATGACAATCGTCAACTAAAAGCGTCGATAAGGTTTGCATTTGCTGGGCGCTATGCACAGGCTAACTTCTCAGCAATGGTTATGGAGAAGGCACTCGAACTTCGATTTGGGACGCAGATGCGTCGTTGCAAATTGAAGGTCTGTGTACACTTCGAGAACGAAGGTGGCAAGCCTTCAATCCTTCTCGGTTCTTCGCGGTTTCAGAGCTGACCCAGGACATCTTGGCTTTGACATATAGAGAACTTCGATTATCCACCAAATCCGCTAGTTTGGCTTCAATTCTCAATCTTCGAAACGATGTACAGCAAAACTTTAACGGTATAACCGCGGTCTCGTCGAAATGAACTACCTGATGCATCATTCACTTCAATCTGATTGCAGTACACGTATGGTGTAATAAAAAATCACAACATGATAATGCACACCGTCGTTTATTTTCGATGATCATCCGTCACCCAAGCAGCTTGGGGGATCGTGCGCAACATGTGATACACTTGTTCACGTCTATTGGCTTCCTTTCTGTACCGTGGGGGCAGCGAGTACCTGAAACTTACGAAGGGAAGACGAACTCCGCTATTACTCACCTGTTTGGGATGGCTGACCCGTGCAAGTAGATGGCCTCGAGCGTCCCCCGCATGCGGCTGTCCTGCGCCGCGCGCTCGCTGCTCTCGTCGCCAGCTGGCACCTGCCACTCGGGATTCAAAGTCACCTGCACGTGGAAAGGACCTTACGTCACCAACAAAGGAGACTTGCCAGCACAACGCACGAGGGAAGCTGTCAGGGAACAGAGGGACAAGGTTTGCGGCAAGGCTTGATAATCTCATGCACGATGCTGCTTTCTTACATGAGACTGTTTGAGAGTTTGACAGGATCTTTGTTCGATGTGCTAATTACAATCTGCATTGTATCAACCGATGACATTTAAAAGAGAAAGGAATGTATATTATGCCAGTCGAGATTGTGTTGATCAGTGCTTCAGATGAGTCTTTGATGCTGGACAACTGCCTTCTGAAGGGATCAGAATCGAAATCACGGAACCACGTACAGCTATCTGGTGAAAGTGACAGTTAATTCGGAAGTAGAGTTGAGCACGACATCAGGGTCCAGACAAGAGCTGACAAACAAAAGCTCCAGATAGCTTTATTCCCAGGGATAGAATAAGCAGAACGCCAAGCAATTTTGCGACCATAGTTGCAGAAAGATAAACTCAATTCTTTGAGGTGCAGAAAGCATCAGGAACAGCCAACAACCAACTTCGAACCATCCAACTTAGATTTGAACACCACAAAGACGAGATGATGTTTAGGAGAACCCACCTTTGGCGGTGGTCGCCATGCAAGCGAGGGCCGCATCGCCTCAATCGCTTGCCGGGAGGCATGCCCCACTCGTCCGGGACGCTGCCGCTTTGGCAGGGCCGCCTCCGTGCGCGCTGCCGCCTCCACTTGGACGGCCAGTTGGTCTGACCGGCTGCGCTCAGCTGCGGCATGGGGGGCGTCGGCAGCAGAAAACACACGTACCTGCAGGTGGTGGGAGATGGAGTTTCATGTTCTGGGGGGGAAGCACAGGGGCATATGTCCAATTTGTATGAGGTTGGTGGGGTACATGTGTTTGAGGCAGAGTATGGCCAGAGGAAGGATAAAGTGTCTTAAAAAAGGTCTTACAGAGGCAAGTTCGTGTCTTCACCGACGAGGACTGAGGACTCAGGACAGGGATCAGCAAAATTAGTGCTCCAGGGGCTCAGGACTGGGGTTTAGGGGACAACAACAGTTGAAGGGGCTGCAGGGCAAGGCCCTGATGGCCCCGAATGAAGGGCTTCTACAGGCACAGTCTTCTCGTGCAAGAGGTCTTAGAACTCAAACAATGGCTCTCACAAGTGGCTGGACATGCTCCCAAAGTGGGGAGAAACCTCCACAAGAAGCTCAACTGGCCACTTGCACCCAGTCTCTTCAAGAGGCGATGTGTGGTTCAACATGCTGGGATTGTATAGACCAGCTAGGTAGGTACTACAGATCACCGTGAATGCAGCCGTTGCACTGCAGCTTAAATATGCAGTAGTTGCTATTATTTTGCTGTTCGACTTATGATTGGGGAGGTGCCCATGCCTGTTGACAATGGTTGTTCCAGCTTGCACATGAGTGAACCAGGTTTTGTGCTTCCGAAGTTCAGGTTCCTGTGCTGTTTGAGTCTTCCTTCTTAAACCAGTTGCTTTTCCTGGTGCATGACGGTTTTCAGCAAGTTCCTCATGTTCAGCTGGTTGATCATCAATTCCTACAGCAAATTTCTGTGAAGGACGCAGGAACCTAGGCTCACTTGTTAAAACCCTTGCTTTCTTAATATGGGGTGGTCCTAAAATGTCCTGCCAGAAAAAACATTCATGGATTTTGGGTCTCCCTCTAAACAAGGCAGACAGCAAAAGTACCTTCGGCCCATTGCTATTGAGACATGCAGCTGCGCATCTTAAATGAGCATTCACATATTGCGCTGTTCATGCGAAAGTTCCAAAGCTCAAGGCAAAACAGCTTCAAATTTCCTCGGAGTGCACCATGTGTAGGACTTCCAAGCAGTGTCTGGTCTGTGAAGGTCCTCATGAATATGCTGCCATCACAGAGGACTCGTGTTAGTTATCTCTCGCAGGTGGACTGATGTCACAGCTGCTATTACCTGTGTAAGATGTGGATCAGGCGCCCATGACACTTTCTTCCGTCGGCCTGTTGGCCTTTCTGCTGACACTGCTATTACTGGGTTCCAGACATCCCTGGTCGGAAGAATTCGTTCAACAGTTGCTGCCATGTCTATTTTTGAAGACGGCTACACACACAAGCCTAACTATGTGGTCACAAACCAAGACTTGGTCATCAGGAATGCGTGGGCCATGCATGAGCTGGTATTGTGAACTCTTTCTGCAGAATCGCAACGGTTCCTCATCAAAGGGGCAAATTTCTTTCACCCTCTGGTCGACATCTGCAAACACGACAAGCACATGATGCAAGGAGTCCCTTGTCTTATGTAGTAATCTCTGCCACAGCTAAGAACGTAACAATCTCTGCTACAGCTAAGCTCCAAGTCTTAGAGTGGCGCCATGCCTTCCTGGCCCTGCAAATTGCTGCAATCTTCTGAGCGCTCTGCAAGTTCCAACTCCTGCAGCTCGACTTTGAATGCTTCTTCCGCAATCTTACTGTACCAGATGAGCTTTAGTTTTGTACCTCAGCAAGTTTGTGAAAGGATTTCCATAGCTTATCATTATAGTCGTGTTCCTTCACAACAGGTAGGTAGGTATTTCAAGCTGCAAAATAGCTTATAAGCTCGTTGAAGCGGTGCCGGCGAGGAGATAGCCTATAGACGACCACGGCAAAGAGACGTCCCATATGATGAGTCTGCAGACCGACGGCGAAGTCACTACCAACCAACAACCAAGTGTGGGCGCCGGCAGAGGTGGCGTATGAGGAGGCGGCCAGCCAGGCGAGGGGGCCACAAGATACAGGACTCGGAGTGAGGCGTAGGGAAAGGGTGTTAAAAGAGGAGGTTTCGATCAGAAGTTCGTTTGAGGGCTTCCTGAGGGCATCATGGCGCAGACAGCCCGAGCCTTGTCCAATGTTACCGCAGGCCTCTCCAGCCTTTCGCTGGACACAACCAGGAACGCTGCTACCGTCAAGTCGTTTTGCGGTCTGAGGGCGACCCCTGTGGCCTTCCAGAGGTTTGGTGCCAGCGGGTTGAAGCAGAGCAGACAGGTATGGAATAGTCGACTCCGCTGCTGCATTTTACCGGATGCCCTTGTTCCTACAGGCATCCTTTGGTTGAAGGATACGGTTAGCATAGAGCTTGCTCAAAGTAGCGCCTGATGGTTGGCGGCTTCAGTGATGCTGATTCGTAGACGAGGCTGGCCGTCTTGGCTCCTCGCATTCTGTCACATTGTCCTCTTTCCCTCAGCTCGAAAGGATGGTGTTCTGCGAAAGCATAGGTATTGCAAGATGGTGGAAGAGGACGACTTTTCAGAGCAGTGTTTGTGTTGGTGATGCTAGGGTTTTCACAGATTCTTCGCAGCTGAAGAAAGCTGGTAATGGTGTGCTCAATCTGCTGCATTCTCTGGTCTTCTTTGCGGCCCATCATTCACGCGGAATCTGGATTCCTGCTCACTTGTCATGTCCGCTCCTTCGTCTTTCTTCCCTTGTGCATACTTGCAGCCTTTTTGCTAAGCACTGCTCTCGGCATTTAGTCTATATTGCCCACCATCCATCGTTAGACACACATCATTGTGCAACGCTAGACATATATCATTGCGCAACGCTTGTCAGAGCTTTCTCAAACTTGATTGAGGTTATTCGGAGCTTTTGCAGCATCTGCTTTGGCCCCCTCATCAAGCAGAATTCAGTAAATCAGGGTTGGTAGCTGGTGCGCTTAGAAAGCTCGCGAAGTGCATATTGTATGCAGCATCATCATGAAAGGCGTTCGCATTGTGGCACGCTTGCCTATCGCCCCTCAACAAGAACGTGGGGTGTCTCTGCACCACTTGTCACGCCGCAAGAGCCTTCGTAGGCAGAGCATTGCATCGCCTTGCTTTAACGAGTTGGGCGGCAATATATGTTGCCTGAGCTGACCAGGCAAGCAACAGTGGGAAACTTCTGGACAAGCAGGTCTTCTGCCTACTCTGTGCCGAGCTCCACCATCAGGATCGAGCCCCATCATTTGTCTGCGCAGGTTGCTGCCCCCACCCGCAGGCCGTTTGGGATTCGGGCTGCTCGTGTTGCTGGAGTTGAGATTCCGAATAACAAGCGCATCGAGTGTGCGCTGACCTACATCTACGGAGTCGGTGACACGACCGCCAAGGTCATTCTGAATGATACGGGGATTCTGAACAAGCGCACGCGGGAGCTAAGCGAGGAGGAGCTCTCGGCTCTCAGGTCTGAGGTGGAGAAGTACATGGTGGAGGGAGATTTGGTGAGGCGGGCATTCTGTGTCGTTCCTCTTCTGGTTTGGAAGGATGTGCGCTCTGCAGGCCTCATGATGTGCTCTTGCAAGGCTTTGGGGCTGACAACAAGAGCAGGATGATCAAGTTTGAAAGCGGAGCTGTTTCGAGTCTGCTGAGTTAGAACTGCTCTGTGGAAATTCACTTTGGGATATTCCTGCGATGAACAGAAACATGGTGTGCTTTCTAAACTACCTGCGGTCAAGTTGCAAAGCCTTCACTCGTGGTGCAGTACACCGTCAGTAGCTCCAACTTCTCCAGTGTGTGGCCACTTGGGAGTGTATCGCAGGGTACAGGGTGTTGTGATGGTGAAGGCCAATTGCCAAAGGCTTGACTTTCATGGAGATTACTCATTCCAACGTGCTGAATTTTTTTGCTGATGTGCAGAGGCGGTTCACGTCGTTGAACATCAAGCGACTGAAAGACATTCAGTGCTATCGGGGCCGGCGGCACATCATGCAACTGCCCTGCAGAGGACAGAAGACGAAGACGAACGCTCGTACCAGGAGAGGCAAGAGGATGGCTATCGCTGGAAAGAAGAAGGCACCACGGTAGACTGGGGGTGGGATTCTGCGAAGGGGATTAATCAATCTTTCTGGCGTTCTTTCATATCCATATTTGGTATGTCGTGTTACGTTTGGTGAAATGTGAAGTAATACATGCTGTTCTTACACATGCCAGGTTGGATCTTATCTGCAGACGTATTTTTCCTATAGAGATCACATGCTGTGCTATCGGCGTGCCATGCAATTATTGCTCTGTGAGATTGCATTGTCACTCAATGTTGCATTGAGACCCTATGCGTCTACGTACAGTGATGCACATGAAGCGGAATTTTCCATGACAGCCGAACTGCGCTCAATCGAGTCTTGCATGTTGTCAGACGGTAAATGCGCAGCTTCGTCAAGCTCGAGCTAATGATACTGCATATTTCAACAATGTATATCTAGAGCTAGTTCACCAAAGGCGGGGCAAACATGCATTAGATTGACGCGACCATATTGTCCAATGAGGCGTTATATCAAGGGCAAATGTCTTAAGAGAGGGCCGACGCCCCAAAGTTGTGCACGAAGCAAAATGCGTAAATCTGAGAGCAGCCGACACACAGGCCGCCCTATTGGAGGGGTTTCCTAAATACCGACAACAAGACCAGTCTCCGTATCCAGAGGCTTCTCTTTACGGTCTGGAATCAATCGACGATGCTTCCGAAAATGTCGGGCTGGGCGGCTCGTCCGCCATCCGAAGCGGAGGCCTGCCCCCCGGGGACGCCTGGTTGGTGTACCGCGCGACTAGCCCCTGGACTGCCTCCTGTGCCCGGGCCTGAAACCACGTGTCCTCGGGGAGCGCTGCTGCCGCGTCCCCGCCGTGCTCCTCAAACGTCTGCTTGGCGCGCCCAATGGTGTCCGCCACGACTTGCCGCATGTGCCGGGACGCGTAGCGGCCCGCGGCAGCGACTTGGAGGAAGAACGTCAGGTCCATCACGAACTGCAAAACAGACGGTGTTTCAGAAACTTGTGTGTTACAAAGTCCTTTCCATAGATGCCCCATAGATGCCGATCTTAACCAGTCGTACCTTCTTATTCATTATGTGCTTCGGTGGGTAGTCGAGCCAGTGGAAATTCGCCAAACAACGGCGAGTCAGTTGTGCAGACAGAGGCGCTCCGAGCAAGAGCTTCACTCTACGGGTAATAGCAAATGCCCACCAACCAAAGGCAAACCAGGGCCTCTTGATTTGGAAGGCGCTTATATCCTCCCAATCACACCCTCCTTTTCTGGCAAGGGACGGGTCTACCAAGCACTCCAATCCGAAAGCGGCCGCCCCTCACCTGTTTGAGCGCATCGGGCCCGAGGCCCTGCTGGTCGACCTCGGCCCAGAAGTCCTCGTCTGACGTCAGCATGGACGCCATGTAGTCCGCGAAGCGCATCATGAGCACCGTCACGCTGCGCTCGCGCCCCGCCATCAGTTCGCTCGCGGTCGACGCCACTGACGTCATCGCCTCGAACAGGGCCTGCGTCAGACGAGGGGGACGTGTGAGCTATAATCGTCTGCAAACTCTTCCTGAAATCAGGGTGGCATACTTTTCCAAACCTAGCAAAACTGTGCTTTAAGACGGACACCCGATACGGAACTCGCCGAGAGCTTTGCGAAGTGTCCAAACCTACTACAAGGATGGTGACTGTCCCTTGGGGCCCTTCGGCTTCAGAAGCATTAAAAAGGGCCTCAAGAATGCTGGGGCCCGGCTCGTTCGTAACTGGACCGGACAGTAGCGCGGACAAACCATGACGAAACTCCCATCGTTCGTACAGAGGCGAAACTTGACCATTAACATCATCTACACACGCCCGCACATTGACCAGGCTGTCCCCTCTTCAGAAGTCTATAGGCGCCGACGCAACTAGAGGCGCCTCAAACCACAGGACACAGTAACCACACATATCTTCCTCACCAGGAACGTCTGCGACGGGCGCCCGTCCTGCTCCGGCGGCACTCCCTCGCGGTCCAGCCGCAGGTAGTCGTCCGCTTCCATCGCGAGCCGCTCCCCATCTTCGTCCTCCCCATACCACAGCCGCAGCACCGTCTGGTTGCAGTACGCTTCCCGCAGCTTCTCCACCGCCTTCTGGCTCCGCTTCCGGAAGTACTGCTGCTCCAGCGACGTCGCCTGCGTGGCATTCCGATTGACTCAGTGAGCAGTAACGCCGGTGAAATGGGATGGAGACCGGTGGGATTCGTTGGAAATAGAGGGTAGGCACATGATTCTCAGTAGCTACAAGAGCTCCTATTATAGTAACAACGAAGCTAACAATAGGAAACCAAACCCAAAGATTCACCTGCTCCACACGCATGCCCACCCTCTACCCTCTTACTAACCGTCCCAGGCAGATTGTCTTTATATTTTCAACTAACATGAGTATTCCAAAGACCAGCAATGGTGGGCACGGGTGCAGCGCACATAACGCTCATTCAGGATTCTACTCAACTAAAGCTTTACTGTGCATTGGGCATATTCATGACAGTTTTGACAGGTACCTGCGCGGCCCCCCGGTTCATGGTCCCTTGTCGAGCGTAGCTGGTGCGCGGGCGGGGAGGGGTGGAGGGGCTCGCGGCGGGGGCGGCCGCGCTGGGGGGGGCACGTGTCAGCTGCTGACAGACGCGGGGGAGGAGCTCGTCGGCGAGCGCGGTGGCGTTGGCGAGCAGCGCCAGCTGCTGTGCATCCGTCACGGCGGGGCGCACCTGAGATTCGGTGGGAAAACAAGGTTTCAACAAATGTTGTATTGTAATCATTCAGTTCGGGATTATCCGTTTCTAGAACTTACAACCTAGCGGTGATAGCAGGATTCTAGAACGAAGTTGCGAAGGGTGGATAAGTCAGGCGGCACACACATCGTCGAAGTTTCCTAAAACGGCTCCATATGCTTGTGGACAAAGGGGGATGTTTCGCAACCTGCGGTCCGACACGCCTCGCAGCATTCAAGTGGTAGCAACACACGTACAGCCGTGAAGCTCTCGCCCTACCAATGTCACAGGAAAGAAAAGAAAAACACGGGCAAAAGTTCGCAATTGTCAACCTTTAACAACGTTGCAAACTGAACCATGTTGAGAGAGTCTCAGGGGAGCCCCTCACCAGTCCGATGTCCCCATTGTCGACCCCCCCCTCCTCCTGCTCGTCCTGCGGCAGCGCCTTGTGCAGCAGCGCCACGTACGAGTCAAAGGCGTGCGCCAGCCCTTCCACGGTGACACCTGTCAGCTGCATGCTCACCACCGGCATCACGTCGTCCACGAACTCCTGCACCAACAGCGGAACCGGAACAGACTTTGTGAGTTTGCAGGACGGTATCGTGCCTGAAGACAGCTTCTCTAAGGTTCGAACGGCGGCAGTGTGTCCGTATTTTGATGCTGCCCAAAACAGAAGAATGACGGGACAGACATTGGAGAATTCCGTGAAACGAAGCAAACGTGGATCATTTAGCTGCATGTACCCGCAGAGAACAGGACATCCGAAAGCGAAATAGGTCCTGGCAATCGCCTTCAGCCCCAAGTCCGCCGCAATAACAGGCAGTGAATGAGAAACGACCAGCGACCCCAATCACATCCTCCGCTTAGTCCCCAAAAGCCATGAACTTCGTGCCCGGCAGTTCCTTAACAGTATACTTATACTCCGCTCCCGATAATCTGATATTGCCCACCTGGATCATGTTGAAGAGCCGGTGAGCGCTGCCGGTCAGGCGCACCCCGCCCGCGGCTGCCCCCTGCGGCCCTGTCCCCGCCCTCCGACCCGTACTCGGGGCAGCCGGCACGAGCAGCCAGTCCTCCGAGGCGGCCAGCGTCTGAACGCTCTCCTCAAAACCTGCGCAGAAGACAGACCGTCTTAAGCAACGTTTGATGGGGTCTTTCTGCTCACTGCCTCAGAATTTGTAGGCGTTGGAAGTGCTGCCTTGTTCTGTAAACTAGGGACTCTGCAGGAGATCCCGATGGAAAATAGATACGGCAAGATTACGGCCAATACGGCAATTGTCGTTCTCGCTAGGCCGATAGTGAACGGGGAAGCAAGTTTCCACAGCACGTAACATCCATTCACCCTTCTGCTTTGCAACACGGTCAACCGCCCATAATATCCGTTCACATTACCAACCTCACTGAAGCATCACGCAAGGAATCAGCAGGCTACCAATGGCCCGAAATGCATCTCCTGACTCGATGTGCGGTAATCAATACTACGCGACCCTTTTCTATGACCCACATTCACCAGTTCCAACACCGGCACTGGAAATTACATCCGCCCACTCACGGTGCAAGTTCGCATCAAGCGCCAGCTCCACGCTCGGCTTGAGCAGGCGCGAGAGCGCGGGGCACAGCGCCAGCCCGCTTTCCTCCAACAGCACACAATGCCCCAGCGCAATCTGCACGCACTCGACCGCCGCGCGCAACCCCCCCGCTGCGGCAGACGACGAGAGCACATGGCGCTGCAACAGGCCCGCACAGCGCTCGGCTTCCGTGTGCGCCCAGAGGACCAGCTCGGACGCGTACGCGGGCTGTTCGCCAAACACGGCCAGGGAGTCGCTGGCGGCCGCCGCGATGGTCGAGAAGACGAGCTGGAGAAAAAGCGAGAAGACGGGGTTTTGAAAACTCAAGTTTGCCGGTGCTAGGGGTTTGCGTTTAACGGAAATACAACGGAAGCTGCGGAGGAGTTTGCGGAGGATGGTGACAACGCACGAGGAAGAGGACCGGGTTTGTTGGTGTATCTGGACCTTAGTTTACGGAAGTGTTCGTGATGTGAATGTTGGCATCTTCACAGAACGAATCGATGAAGGTTTTGAGATTCTGCAGGATGCAACTCTTCCACTCCAGGCTGATCGTAAGCCTCTAGCCCTATCCGTACCACTTGAGAAATGACGTTGACATTGCAGAAAAATGCGACGTTTGGGTTGGCCTTCGCGTCTTAGAAACGGTGTGGCAGGGCGACAAGGGCATTAAGAACCGTCGGACGATGTTTAAGAGAGGAGCTTTCAAAGTGTGAAGGTCATACTCGCACAAAAAGGGAGACGGAAGGGAGAACCGTTCCAAGACCCGCAGTGGCAAAGAAAGCTTCCAAGATGATGCGAAATCAATGTGTTGCTTGTGTCAAAGTGACTCTTCGGATGCGATAATATCGCTGCTGCAGAAACTGAAATAATGGGCTGCGACTTGACGTTTTAACATGGCAACATATTGAAAGGCCAGAGAAGGAGCACAGAGCCGGTGCCAGCTTCAACATGATTGATAACCTCGTGATGAGGAGTAAACTCAACACGAAAACGGTATCCGACAAGTCAGGGCGAATCAAATTCGCATTGGAGCTTGGTTTCTAAACGGCTGGACCACACCCAAAAGCGCACACTCCTCACCTGCGACAGCGCTGCCGTGTAGGCCCCACCGTACGACGTCCCCGTCGGCCGCAGCGCCCGCACGGCCCCTTTCAACCTCTCCTGGTGCGCACCGAGCAGCAGCGTATGCGCGCGCGGCCCGTCCCCCAGCCTTACCAACGCCGCAACCGCATCCCGCAACTCCGCGCCCCTCACCGACGGCTGCTGAGCTGCCTCCGCTAGTTGCTCCGCCAATCGCGCCCGTCGTTCTGTGAGTGCGGCGTGCAGCTCGGCTGCATCTCGGCTGCTGAGGACCCCCCGGCCGGAGCCCCCCTCGACCTGCCCCCCCGCTGCGAGTTTCTCGCCTTCCTCGAGAACGGTTAGCGCCTCCGCCACCTTGCGCTCGGCCAGGAGGACGTCTAGAAGGTCGGGCAGGGCCTGCGCGCGGATCTGCGGGGGGGTGCGCCATGTCGCTTGAAACTTGGCACAGCAGGAATGGGGATGGCCGCAATCAGGAATTGCACCTCCCCATTTGTTTGTGCACTGGAAATGATGTCTCTATGCAATGAAACGATTGAACACCCTGGGTCTACGACAGTGGCTTTGCAAGGCACTCTCAGACAAGGTAGTTGTATGATGTCACTCCGACCTCTGTAACCGAACTCCAACCGGTCAGCACCACTACCTTCGACCCTTCCCTAGTCAGCAGACAAAGGTCAAAAGCTTGTCTTCTGGCGCCGTGGAAAAGAAATGAGACGGTGCAGGTTGTTCTCCTTGCCTGGTGCTCTGAGAGGTCCCTCTCCTCCTCCTGTCCCAATTCCTCCTCGAGCGCCTCCTCGTCCCCTACCTCCTCTGGGCTCTTTTGAGGAAGAAGCGTGGGGCCCCCTTCGAGCAGCCCGTGGATCGTAGCCGCCTCTTGAGCCAGCAGGTTGCGCATCTGGAGCAGCTTGCCCTCCAGGTCCGAGATGCGCCGCGACGTCCTGGGGGGGGAGCGGGAGTGAAGATCTCCATTCATGCTACTGAGCCCCTGCCTCCAGCCAATCATGAGGGACTGAAGCAGCTTTTGTCCGCCATTCTTGAAGTACAAGAGCTTCATTACGACTTTGGGGCGCGAAAGAGCCTCTCTTGAGACACCCCAACGCGGCGTAATTGTTTTATGAGTGGAATGAAGCGGAGTTCATCCAAGGGTTAGGACTGCTCGGAGGGCTCGGAATGGCCCTCTCATGTGGGCATACATGGCAGAAGGAGCGAGACCGGAGATGGCCTCACTGGATGAAGTCCGGGTAGTTGTGATACACGTTCTTGCGCATCTCGTCTGCGGAGGCTCGCTTCAGTTCCACCAGGTCGTTCACAAACTTTCGAATGCCCTGCGCCAGACGCATGTGTACAGTGTCTGGTTACTTACAGCTGAGTGTGAATTGCACAGGCCAACGGATAAGACCAGGGCAGGGGAGAGGTTTGGGGCTTCGCTGAATGCTAAGGGCACTCCTCCCACCATCTGAGAAAGAGGAAGCGACTGGCGGAAGGAACTGATTGAAAGACGACTTTCAAGTTTGATTGTCAATCTATTCCTTGTGATCCATTTCTGCGTCTTGAAACTCAAGGTATTAACAAAGATGGGGGAAGGTAGGTCTTCTGGGCATCGATGCAAATGCAGAGATTTTGAAAGGGGTCAAAGCAAGCATAGACAGTACAGTTCCACAAGGTAGTACAAGCTCTGGCGAAGGGTGAATAGACACAAGCTCTATGTCTACACACAGCAGAAATATGCAAAACCTTCTTCAAACTGCGCCGAATCTCAAGCTACCTGTCCTTCATATGTCACTTTCAATTGCGGGCCAAAAGGGCAAGTGTCCCTCACCTTTTCGCTCATTGATTGACATTTGAGCCTACAAAACTCCTCTGCGTCGAAGTCATCCTCCTCAAACACCCCCAGCTCGTCCACTTGCCCATCGGCGCCCGAGTAGCTCTGGGCGCTTTGGGCACTGACCGCCGCACGAGACCGCGCAGAATTTCGGGCAGCCATTCTGAGGTCTTCGACACTCCAAGCAGCACCCGATGCAGAAAGTGATTTGTCGTAAGGTGACCGCTGAGAACGTCGACTAGCGCATCATTCTCAAAGAGTGCTTTCCACGTCGGTTTCGCAAATTTTCGGTGAGTTTTGAGAGGCTAAAGGTCTGTGTCCTCAACCAAAGGCTGGAGATCTGTGCAGATGCCTGTCTGCATGATAAGCCCTCGAACCTCTGATCTCAAGGAAGCCCCTGCGCAGCTGGCACATGCGTCCTTCCTTGAACTCGGTCCTTGCCGATGCACATTGTGCAGCTCTGGCCCAGGTAGCTGCCTTGGTTGTGAACTAGGTACCTACACCCGGGTCAACAAGTTTTGTAACCAAAC